TCGACATGGCGCGTCAGTGTAAAAATGTATACAGTGAGAGAGTTCGAGATAAAGCTTACGTCCGAAGGAATAGACAAAATGGTCGACAAGGAGTCTAAAATAGGAGAAGCAGTGGGATTTGACAAGGTTTTTGCGAAGATGATAAAATTAAGTGTTGTTTTAATACGAGATATTTTTGAATATTTGCTGGGAAATGAAGAATACCGGTTGTCTGGAGTTGAACAGTCATTGTTAAGTACAAAGAAAAGCTCACGTATGGTCTGCAGTAACTATAAAATTAATTACTTCACTCGGATTTGCCTAAAATATGCTTAAAATCTTTGAAAGAAGAATGAGGATTAATCCAATGGAATTTTGTGTGATTCTCAAGGGGATTCAGAAATGGAAGAGTATGCATGGATTTTTTTTTTGTTGTTGCTCTGCAACATCGTAAATTTTAGACTAAAAAGTCTTTTATAACTTTATGGATTCAGAGAAAGCCTTCAACAAAAAAGATATTCTGGGTCATTCCGCCGCAATATGGACTACGATAATGTTATTATTTTAGATTTTTTTCTTATGAGAAAATGACTTAGATACCTTCTCAGAGTCATCTCTGTTTCAGATTCAAGTTTCGTAATATAGTTTACTATGTGAAGTTCAGGGATATGATTCGTTTGTTTATTTTTTAATAATTGCAAGTTATGACTATGTAAATTAAAAATTATACATAATTAAAAAGGCTATTTTATATTGATAGTACTATTTTATTCCTTAAATAACAACAGAATTGCATTTACTTACTTCGAATAAACTATGAAAGAACGTTTTTGGACACATTTATTTGAGTTCTCCGAAACGGCCGTATTGCACGAAATATTCATCCAAATATCACTAATTCTATTTCAATAGTATATATCTAAAATACGTTTTCAAATCAGAAGGCTGAGAATCCAACCACCCCAAAACTCTTGTTGCATCAATAAAGGTAGTATCTATGCGGCAGCAAAGTAGTTTTACCGTCTTGACCCTGCCAAAAGTGAGGCTCCAGGAATTAGTAGTTAACTGGAGCAAATTTGGTTTGAGTGCAAACAAACCTGATAACGATATAGTACATATTCTTAAATTTGCCTAAAATATGCCGTGAGCCGTGGGGTGCCGGCCTAAGAGTAGCACCCCCCCATATCCTCCCGTGGGTGTCGTAGGAGCCGACAGAGGGATTATACGGAAGGCGGGCAGCAGCGCCTCCCGGTATCATCTACCACCACCTACTGCGATCCCCAAGTCGCCTGCCAAGCGTGGGGATTATGGCAACCCCCCCCCCCCTCATGATGGACGACAATTATGTACGGCCCCCAGTCCCCGGCAGCCCCTCTATTCCTGTCTCTGGTAGCGGGACAGGTAACGGAGGGGCAGGGGGTGCTAAGAATCTCCGGCAGATTAGGCGCTACCAACACAAACGGACTCTGGCCCTGGCAACATACAATGTCCGCACACTGAGGACTGACGTGAAGCTATTAGAGCTGGAGGAAGAATTGAGCAAGTTGCGATGGGACATAGTGGGATTATCCGAAATCCGAAGAGAGGGCCAGGATACGGTAATCCTTGAGTCCGGTAACATGCTCTTCTTCCGGGAAGGAGATCAAAAATCTCAAGGTGGTGTTGGGTTTCTCGTTCACAAGTCCCTCGTGAACAACGTGGTGAAGATCGATAGTGTGTCGAGCAGAGTGGCGTACCTTATACTCAGAATTACCGAAAGGTATTCGCTGAAGGTCATACAGGTTTACGCCCCGACCTCTGCACACTCCGACGATGAGGTAGAGGCTATGTATGAGGAGATTTCTGAAGCCATACATACGACTAATACCTACTTCACCGTTGTAATGGGGGACTTTAACGCGAAGCTGGGCGCTTCGAACGGCGATGAGTTGAGGGTGGGTCGATTTGGGTATGGGCGGCGCAACCACCGGGGCCAGAAGCTGGTCGATTTCATGGAGAAGGAGGGACTCTTTGCGATGAACTCCTTCTTCCAGAAGAGACCCTCCAGGAAGTGGACCTGGATGAGCCCTGATGGTTCGACAAAAAATGAGATCGACTTCATCATGACAACCAGAAAGCACATATTCAATGATGTCTCCGTGATCAGCAGGGTGAAAACCGGTAGCGATCACCGAATCGTTAGAGGCACATTGAATATCAATGTTAAGCTCGAAAGGTCACGTCTGATGAAGTCTACGCTCCGTCCTAGTGCTGCTCATATCATGGACCCCGAAGCCTTCCAACTCCAACTGCACAATCGCTTTCAGTGTCTAGCTGAATGCGAGTCTGTGGACGAAATAAACAACGGGTTTGTAGAAACAGTCCAAGCTGTGGGGTCTAAGTTCTATAAGGCCCCGCGCCGTATTAAATCTCAAAAGCTCTCAGACGAAACGCTCAAGTTGATGGCGGACCGGAGGGATATGAGACTGCAATCTTCAACCGATATGTCGGAATATGGTCGACTTAACAGACGAATTTCCAAATCGATGCGACGCGATCTGCGCTCCTATAATACTACACGTATTAGGGAGGCAATAGAGCGGAACCAAGGCTCCAAAGTGTTTGCACGAAATTTGTCTGCTGGGTCGAGTCAGATGACGAAGCTGAAGATCGACGACGGCAGGATCGTATCTTCAAAACCGGAGATTCTGATTGAGCTTGAGAGGTTTTATGGACAGTTGTACACATCATCACAACAACCCGTTGAAAGCAATGCTCAGGACACCAGAGCAAAGCTGACCCGACATCACACCGAGGATATCCCAGACATCAGCCTGTACGAGATTAGAATGGCACTCAAACAGCTGAAGAACAACAAGGCACCGGGGGATGACGGAATCACTACTGAACTTTTGCGAGCGGGTGGAAAACCGGTACTCTTAGTCCTCCAGAAATTGTTCAATTCCGTCATTCTCGAGGGTACGACGCCAGAAGCGTGGCACAGAAGCGTGGTTGTGCTCTTCTTCAAAAAAGGTGACAAGACCTTGTTGAAGAATTATAGACCAATCTCGCTTCTGAGCCACGTTTATAAGCTGTTTTCGAGGGTCATTACGAATCGTCTCGAACGCCGGTTTGATGACTTCCAGCCTCCCGAACAAGCCGGTTTCCGAAAAGGCTTTAGCACCATAGACCACATACATACGCTGCGGCAGATTATACAGAAGACCGAGGAGTATAATTTGCCACTTTGCTTAGCGTTTGTGGACTATGAGAAAGCCTTCGATTCAATCGAAACCTGGGCAGTACTGCAGTCCCTCCAACGATGCCAAATCGACTACAGGTACGTCGAAGTGTTGAAGCGTTTGTATAGCAACGCCACAATGTCGATTCGCTACCAGGAAGAGAGCACGAAACCAATCCAATTGCGCAGAGGCGTGAGACAGGGAGATGTCATTTCTCCGAAACTGTTCACGAATGCATTGGAGGACGTCTTCAAGCTCTTGGAATGGGACGAATACGGCATCAACATCAATGGCGAATACATCACTCACCTTCGTTTCGCCGATGATATAGTCATCTTGGCAAGATCGATGGAGCACATCAGTACAATGCTCAGCGACCTGAGTATCGTTTCCAATCAGGTGGGTCTTAAAATGAACATGAACAAGACAAAAATCATGTCGAATGTCCATGTTGCACCCGTACCGGTGTTCATTGGAACTGATACCTTGGACAGACAATCCAGTTAGGTAGATCCAATTTCGACAAAGAGGTCGCTCGAAGAATCCAACTCGGCTGGGCAGCGTTCGGGAAGCTACGCGATATCTTCACGTCCAAATTACCACAGTGCCTAAAGACGAAGGTGTATAACCAGTGTGTGTTGCCAGTGATGACCTATGGCACTGAAACGTGGTCCTTAACTGCTGGCCTCTTAGAGAAGCTCAGAGTCGCTCAGCGAGGCATGGAGAGAGCTATGTTAGGGGTTTCTTTGCGCGACAGGATCCGAAACGTGGATATTCGCCAAAGAACTAGAGTGACCGACATAGCTCGCAAAGTTTGTAAGCTGAAGTGGCAGTGGGCAGGCCACATCGCTCGACGAACCGATAACCGATGGGGACGAAAGGTTCTCGAGTGGAGACCACGAACCGGAAGACGCAGCGTGGGTCGACCCTCGACTAGATGGACGGACGACATCGTCCGAGTCGCGGGCGGCCGCTGGATGCAGCTGGCGCAATGTCGTCCGTCGTGGAGTTCAAAGGGGGAGGCCTATGTTCAGCAGTGGACGTCTTCCGGCTGATGATGATGATGATGATGACATATTCTTAAAACGCAATTTTTGTTTCCGTTATTATTATGTTATGTTGTCTTGGTAGATTTTTTTTTTTATGGGGTAGGGGGCAGACGAGCAGACGGATCACCTGATGGTAAGTGATAACCGTCGCCCATGAACACCTGCAACACCGGAGGGGCTACAAGCGCGCTGCCGGCCTTAGAGGGAAGGGAATAGGGAGGGGTAGAGGGAAGGGAATAGGGAGGGGTTGGGCCTCCGGTACCCTCACTCACACAACGAAACACAACGCAAGCGTTGCTTCACGTCGGTTTTCTGTGAGGCCATGGTATCACTCCGGTCGAGCCGGCCCATTCATGCCGAAGCGTGGCTCTCCCACGGTTCCAGTCTTTTTTAAATAAACTTTCGGTTTTGAGCTTGTTTCTTAATTATAGGTATAATGTCATCAATAGTAAGTATAAATGTTTTACTTTAATATAAATATTATCATAATATTTGACAAAATCTTATCCTGCGTCAATATAGTATTTATCAGTATTTATTTTGCCATCGCAATTTAGAGCTTCGGTGAAATATTATGATCGTCTAGAATATTTTCTTATTCATACACGAATCGATTGGATACCCACTTCATTGTTATTCATTTCACGGTTTCATATTATGATTAAATAAGTTAAATCAATTGAGTGCACTCCAATGGGCTATAAAACCGATAGGTATTCGCCCGCTTTGGCATTGTCGAGTCCAGCACAAGATGGCGGCAGCTTGGGTTATAAGTTTTGCACTCGCGGCTGCTTCACTCGTTCAGGCACAAAACCCACAATGCCAAACAGAAATGATAGGTAAGTGCTTGACTTGAGCTACTTATTGCTGTATTGGTTGCGTCATCATATTTATTTATTAAACCTCACATTGTTGTGGTAGGATCGCACCGTATAGATAGCTATTGAGAGTTATAGAAACTAATAACGATTTTTCCTTTATTTCAGAAGGCAGATTGAGGGTTAAATCTGCCTTCTGAAATAAAGGAAAAATCGTGATGTCATATATATAATTTTGATTAATTGATTTGTATTATGAAGATGTTATTGCCCCCCCCCCAATAGATCCGTCCGTCTGTCCGTGACAAGTTTACGAGTAATAGTCGATTAATTGTATTCAACTCGAAAATTTCGAATAACTCCATAGAAAATAACAAACGTGATTTTGTTACTTTTTTTAATGAATAAATAGTACGAAACCTTTCGTGCGCGCGTCCGACTCACATTTGGTTTTTTTTATTACCTATACTAATTAAAAGTTCATTTTGACATTATAGTTTCGTACGTATCGCCGTTTGTTGCCATTTATTTATGTGATATAATTTTTTTACCTTCCTTATTGATTGCGCTTGATAGACGCTTTCGAGAGAAAACTTATTTAAATGAAGAATATTTTAAACAAACTTCAAAATGAACCTACCAATGCAGTTGCACAGATCTCTTTCATATTAATTATTTCATTGCAAACTGCTACAAAACTATAACTTACATCAGCATAATAACTAAAAAAATATAGTTTCGAAAACGCTGTCCTTTGGTCGTTGCTATTAATTATCGCTATAAAACAAATTTCTTGTTGCTAGAGCGTGATTTAGCTTCGGGTTTTAGTTTTTGAACTTATTGTTTTATTTAATTAATTATCAGCTGTATTTAAGCAAAGGCTATTAATATCAATAATTATATATATAAGAAATGTGGTCGTTAAGATCTTTCATTTTATACCCTACATGGAATGATTGAATAATTTATATATATTTTAATTTCTTACTCTATGCTCTCTAAAGTGCACTTTTGCCAATGTAATGTAACGTCACATAGCCTACAGCACGCGGACAACTAAGACATTTCTAATGATACCTCATATGTCCAGTTACGATTAGTAGTTTCGAATTATAAGGGAACAGATGAACATTCTTTCATACATACATACCGGTCAAAATCATAACCCTACTTTTCGCTTCGCCGTAAAATATGTAAAATATGTATAGTCATCATTGTAATCGATAAAATATCGTCATAGGTCAGATCACCGGAAATCCGTTACCGTTGCAGCCTGTTCCCCTTCTACCACCAAGTTCTACTTGGGACATTACCATTCCGAGCGTGAGTAACTTACCAGAAAATATGCCTAATAATTTTATATGACAAAAATCATATATGACAAAAGTCGTTAAAAGGACTGAAACAGTTATATAGTAATACATCTTTCATTCAACAGAAAAAAAGACAAGTAATATTTAATAAGTAAGATTCATCTTTCCTTTTTATTACCTTTCGTACTTATTAATTGATTCGTCGCCGTTGCCTTCGAACCAGATTATATTACATATATAAATATAATAAACATTATTGACAAGGATTGAGACAATGATTTTAAATAAAATTGGAATTATTCAAACAGGTGTGCGTCAATGCTGGTTTATTAGTGAAGGTGTGTGACCCCGACGGCCCTCCGCTTCCTACTGTAACTCCGTTGAACAACCGGGAAATTATTGTGAAACGTAACGCTAATCCGCTGCTGCAGCCGGCCATGGTATACGTCACAGTATTCTGTACAGAATCACATAGAAGCAACAATTATAATGTCCAACCAACCGTGCTGGCAGTACCCAAGTTATAAGCAACGGAATTAACAACGACCCCGTCATCTTAGTGCACTTATTTGGATCCATATGCACTGAGTTCTAATCGATTCGTATACATTATATCGGAGTTTGACAATCCTTACAACTTGACTTTACAAAATCTTTCATTTCCTAAAATACGACGATACGGTGTCTGTGCAAGTGTAATGAAAAAGAAAAGTTAAAATAAAAGACAATTTGCTGTACTTCATTCGTTTTATTCCGCTATTACCTCATATATTTTGTCAGTTCCGAATTCCCAAACGCTTAATACTAGAAACTGTTAAACAGAAATATTTAATTACGTGCTGAATGTATTTGAGACAAAGACAGAAAAAAAATGCATTGCTTGAATTAATAAAAAATGGATACTTAGTTTGTCATTAACTTGAGTGGAGGTTACCATTTAATGGACTCATTATACATCGGAATCTTCTTGGATTGATATTTAACATCATTTATGGTTGGTTATTCATATGTTGTGTGTGTTTTATAAGAGTTTTGGGCCGAGCACGCAGCCTTGTAACACTATACTTTATAGTATGACCGCAAATATTAGGAGCATATCGACGCTGGAAACCAAACACGTAGTAACCCGCAAAACCAACATTATAATTTTTTTCTTAAAATATTAAACTTATATTTTTTTCGATAAATAATTCCCAGAAACGTCCATGGTAACAAATAATGTGTTCCTTAGCCAATTTATACGGAAAAATTTTTTTTTTTGTAAAATATAAAGTTTTTCCAGTCTAAATATTCATTTTGGTTTTGCAGGTTACTACGTGTGTGCTTTTCAGCGTCGATATAATGTCAGATTTATCTAGCTTCAGAATATAGAGAAAAAGATCTAGTATATAGCTAACTTCAAGTTAAGAAGTCCGCTAGGAGATTGTAACAATGTATTGGCTTAGTCTATAATAAAAATAAACAACTATGTTAAAGACCATATAATAGATAAAATTCGTCGTGAATTTCTTAAAATATTCATTTCAGGTGGAGATACTTCTTACTTTCGCAATGACATAGATACATATATCTTAATACTAGCTTATAATGATTTAATTTTTAATAAAAAACAAACTCTTCGATCGGAAATAGCAACTAATGTCCTATCTCAAGTCAACTCTGTTTAGTGGATTAGGCGTGAGGGCGCCACTGACCTATATTTGCGATACTTTGGCATGTAGAATATTAATATGAAAAAAATAATCAATTTTCCTTGTCGCTCACTGCATCATCACATATTATATTATAATAATAAATTACCAGGCAGTTACCAAAATAAATAGACTAAGAACAAATAAATCACGATTGCTTTGTCGACTTTCAATTTCACAACTGTTAAAAGGGAAATCAAAAGTTGAAACTGTTAATATATAATGGATATGTCGTAGCCGACTGGATAAAAGATCCGTCCAATCAGCTGAGTAACCAAAGTAACTTTCTTCTACAGTGCGGCTATACCCAGGGAACTGGTTAACTGTCAAAGATCACTACTATACAGTGGCGTAACTATACCGTTTGAGGCCAGTGGCTAATTCATTGGTTATTCAATTTTTTTTTTACTATTCGTGTACCTGACCGGGGGCCCCTTCCAGCTGGGGGCCCGAGGCATTTTGCCGACTTACCACCCTGTAGTTACGCCACTGCTACTATACGAAACACTCTTATTAATTTTATTAATTACAAAATGTCCGCGATATTTTTAATAAAATTACTTTCATATTCATCTTCGAAGACACTACAACAAAAAGATATATGATTTAATTATTTAAGGTACAGCATCAGCTATACATGTAATTAAAGGACTAATGTCCAATATGTTATAGTACTTTATCTCTGAAAACTTTAAAACTATTCAACAGATTTCAAATACAGATTGTACACACATCACACTATTAAGAAATGAAACTTCCAATGTCCGCTGATACAACTAATTTATTTGACATTTTACTTCATAACAAAAAAGATTAAACATTTGCCGCCAGCCAAGGACGAATTAGTCCTTAAAATTATGAATCTATTGGCAATAAACATAACTTGGTAATGGGTCTTTTGAAAATCTTATTACTACACTTGATAGTAACAACACGGACTATTCCGTCGTTACCCGGATGAGTTTGTATTACTCTACCAAGTAACCATTTCGATGGTGGCAAACACTCATTTTTTACAATAACTAAGTCATTAATTTTAACAGGGTTTTGAGGAGAGTGCCACTTATATCTATGCTGTAATGTTACTAAATATTCATGTGTCCATCTTTTCCAAAATGATTGCAACATATGTTCAATGTGTTGCCAACGATTGAGTCTGCTAATAGGAACATCAGTCACATTTTCATGAGGAACTACACTAGGTGGACCTAACATTAAAAAGTGACCAGGGGTTAGCGCTGTGTAATCATCAACCGAGTTACTTAAAGCAGAAATGGGACGGGAATTAAGACAACACTCTATTTGTGTTAAAAGAGTGGCATACTCTTCAAACGTGAGTTTTATATCTCCTATAACACGATTGATATGATGCTTAGTTGAACGTACTCCCGCCTCCCATAAGCCTCCGAAATGAGGTGAACCTGGGGGTATAAAGTGCCATTCGGTCCCCTCCGAAGCTAATATCTCACGCAACTCTACTGGCAATGAAGATTTAGCTTTATTTAACATTTTCTTAAGTTCAAAATTTGCCCCTATGAAATTAGTCCCACAATCTGAGTACAAATGAGCACAGTGCCCACGTCGAGAAGTAAACCTTTTAAAAGCTGCAATGAAAGCATTTGTTGATAACTCTGAAACTAATTCCAAATGTATAGATTTGGTTGAAGTACAAATGAAGATTGCAATGTAGGCTTTGTACATAGCAGCATTCCTAACTTTTGAAGATTTTAAATAGCAAGGACCTGCGAAATCTACACCACTATTAGAAAATGGTTTAGCAATAGTGACTCGAACTGATGGCAAGTTTCCCATCAATTGAGTAGCAAATCTAGGTGCATATCTTACGCAAGCAACACATTTCTTGACATGTAACTTAACAAGCGATTTTACGTTTGTAATCCAGTAAGTACATCTAATAATATTCAACATAAGTAATGGCCCTCCATGCAACAATTTCTTATGAGTAAAATCAATAATTAATTTGGCTAATTGTGATTTGCCAGAAATTACAATAGGATGCTTTGCATCATGAGGAATACAAGCATTTTTTAATCTACCACCTACTCTTAATATGTTATGATCATCAATAAATGGACGTAAGAAATACAAAGGACTTTTCTTCGAAACAGTTTCACCATTCGATAGTTCATTAAATTCTTTTTGAAAATAATAATTTTGTGAAATCTTAATACAACAATTCATGGACTGTAATAATTCATTGGTCGTTAAATAAATTGGAAATTCATCAAGCAAATTAACATTACTTAAATTCATTCTGTTTATCACACGTTTTTTACATATATTAATAAATCTCAAACAATAAGCTAGAACTCTCTTAAGTTTTGTCAAACTAGAATATCTGTGTAAAATAAACTCTTCTTCTAGTTCATTAACATTTAAACATTGTACAGAATTAGCTTTCGCTTCTAAATCTGTTTCATGAAATTCATTATTAGGTAAAATATCATTAGTGGTATATAACCATTGTGGTCCATTCCACCATAATTCATAATCTGGCAACTGGGTAGGAGAAATACCTCTAGACGCGCAATCTGCTGGGTTATCTATTGTACTAATATGATGCCATCGATTAGGATGAGTTACATTTAATATCTCCGCAACTCGGTTTCCGACAAAAGTTTTCCAACAATTTGGTGGTTTTTGAAGCCAAGCCAGAACTATAGTGGAATCAGTCCAGCCAAATACATTACTCTCAGGAACATTCAAACAAGTTTTTACCTTATCAATCAACTTAGCAGTCAAAACAGCTCCACACAATTCTAGTCTGGGAATTGAAATCTGTTTTAGTGGCGCTACTTTAGTCTTAGCTGCTACTATTTTAACAGTAACTTGAGAATCAACAATTCTAACATATACAACACCAGCATAAGCAGCATTAGATGCGTCACTAAAACCATGAATTTCAATTCTCATATTTGAATTTGTAAATCCTATCCAACGTGGTAAATAAATAGTTATCATATTTATCATTTGTTCCCTATAAGTCAACCATTCAACTTTATAACTTTCGGGCAATTCATCATCCCAACTTAGATTTAGTAACCACAACTTTTGTATAAAAACTTTTGCTTTAATAATAATGGGTGACATCCAACCTAAAGGGTCATATATTCTCGCAATATCAGCAAGAACTTCACGTTTTGTTATCTTGGACTTTAGATCTTTTGAAAACTTAACACCTAATTCAAATCTATCTTTCTTTGGATTCCACTTTATACCTAAAGTTTTAATAGATTTTTCCATAATAATCTCATATGACTCTTGCGGTTGAGTGTCATCACCGTAAATAGAATTCATCACCAATTTTGAGTTAGTACCCCACTTATGTAGAACCATTCCTCCCCGCTGCAGTAATGCAGTCAAATCTTTTTGTAAAACAATAGCTTCTGCTTCTGAATCACAACCAGAAAGCAAATCATCAACATAAAAATCAGATTCTAACACTCGCGCAGCATTTGGATACTTATCCCGATCATCATTTGCTAATTGCTTCAACACCTTAATGGCAAGATAAGGAGCGCACGATGTGCCATACGTTACCGTACATAACCTGTATTCGGCGATCGGATCAGCTGGATCTTTTCTCCACACAATACGTTGATAATCTTGATCTTCCTTTCTGACTAAAATCTGTCTGTACATACGCTGAATATCAGCCACGAGGCAAATTCTGTGTGTTCGCCATCTCAAAAAAATATCTCTTATGTCACTTTGTAAAGCTGGACCTATCAATAACTTTTTATTTAAAGATGTTCCCGTACTTGTCTCAGCTGAGCCATCAAAGACAACCCGAAGCTTAGTGGTTGTACTTTCTTCTCTTAAAACTCCATGGTGTGGAAGGTAACAAACGTCTAACTTGTTCAAATTTTCAACTTCTACTTTTTCCATATGTCTTAACTCTTCATACTCATCCATAAAACCTCTATAACGTTCATAAAACTTCTTATCTTTCTGGAATCTTCGTTCCATTTGCAATAAACGTTTTACAGCAAGAGTCTTAGATTCTCCGAGCGGTGTGCCATTATACTTTGAAAATGGTAGTGCTACTATATAACGCCCTGAGTCAGTGCGAGAATGTGTCTTTTCAAAAATTTTCTCACACTCTGTTTCACTTGCAGTCTGTGTACGGTTTTTTGTGTGTAATTCTTCTGATTCCCAGAACCGCTGTAATAAATCATCTGTCTCAAGTTGGCTGTGCATTAAACATACTTCCTTTATTTCAGTGTGCCTTTTACTTTCAACTTTTCCTGAAATAAACCAACCAAGATGCGAATTCTGTGCAATCACTAAATCATATCTTTTAAGTCCATCCACAACAATTTGTGCATGTATATCTGCCCCCAATAAAAGATCTATACTGCTAGGCTTTGAAAACGTAGGATCTGCTAAAGGCAATGTGCTTATCCCTGATGACAAATTCAAACATATCTCTTGACGAGGCAGTATAGAAGCAAGTGACTTCAAAACATGAGCTTTGACGTGAACTATCGGCGTGTCATTATATATTGAAAAAATATTAAATCCAACTAGCTCTTTGGAAACCATCGACAGTTGTGGATCTATACCCGTCACTTTGCTAATATGATGCTCTTTATTTAAACCAAGACGCTGAACCGCTGATGACGTAATGAATGATGCTTGCGACCCTTGATCAATCAGTGCTCGCAACTTGTGTTTATTGCCATCTTTGCCTATTATTCGAACCATAGCCGTAGCAAGTATGACCTGTGTGTCAGTAATATCAGCTTTGTGGACAGCCAACTGGGAAATGTCTTTGTCTTCGCTATCCTCTTCGTTTTTCTCAATTTGTGTAGCATGTGCTTGTTGCGTTTCATATGTAGTTAGATGTAAGAGTGAATGATGACGTCGCTTACATATTTTACATGAAGTATTTTGTCTACAAAATTTTACACTGTGTCCCGGTACCAAACAGTTGAAACACAGTTGTTTCTCTTTTACGACATCTCTACGTTCTTCCGAATTTAGTTTCACAAACTCTTTGCAGTTATAGATATAATGATCTTTATAACAAAACGAACAAATGACTTCGACATTCGTTTTGAAGGTTCTTATTGACGGTTGCCGATTCACTACTTCTTTGTGTTGTGTCACAGCTAAAGCCTCCAAAGATCTGAATCTTATTTCTAAAAATTCCAGCAATTGCTTAGTGCTTGGAATGTCTCTATTTCCTGCTAATTGTTGTTCCCATAAACGCTGACTCTCACAATCAAACTTTGCTACTATAATATGTGTTACGAGAGGATCCCAGTTTGTCGTAGATACGCCAACATTATTAAGTGCATTCAATGTCTCATTCGTAGTATCTAATAATGCGCGTAATCCCTTGGCTGATTCTAACATAAGCTTCTTCTGTCCAAGTAACCGTGTAACGTGTGCGTGTACTATAAGCCTCTTGTTGTTGTATCTTGATTCCAAAACTTCTAATGCTTTCTCATAATTAGCTTCGGTTAATGGAAATTGCTTTAATAATAACTCTGCTTCGCCTTTCAAATTACTTTTCAAATAATGATACTTTTCTATATTGCTTAAATCCTCGTTGTTATGAATCAAAGACTTGAATAAATCATAGAAACCTGTCCAATCATTATAATTTCCCGTAAAAAAAGGGATTTCAATAGCTGGTAACTTAGCCCTTAATACTTTACTTTGAGGTGTTGTGACAGATGCTTCTCCCTTTTGTACAGATATTAATGAATTGGCAGACAATTCCTCTAACTGTTCTTTCATCAAAGTTTTTAATTCTAGATAAACATTTTCACATAAATAATAAGAATCATCTTGAAAATATGTTAAGCTTTTCTTTTCATCGAGCGTTGCTGTTGTTACAATATTAAAATGGTTACCTTTAAAGTTTTGAAAGTTTGTTTCTAATAATTCTAATCTTGCTTCAATATAAGCTTTAGTTATTCTTGCTTTTGACTTTTTGTAATTTGATAATGCTCTTGTGATTTGCATGGATATTTCATTTTGCGTATTGATAAGTTCTTGCACAGTCATTTTGTTTCGCTTATTTACTTTGACAATCAAACTTGAAAACTTTTTGTTCAATTGTGAATTTAAATAATACCGCGTAATAATGGAACTAGATCATCGTCTATGCAAGTTTTCTTCCGTTATACTCTTTTGCAAAATGTCAACAAAATTTTCATATTTCCACTATTGTATATTTTTGTAAACTTACTTGTTTTCTTGAAATTTATTTAATTTTCACAAATTTCGCAATCCCAATGTTTGTTTTATCGTCACTGATCTTCATCCGGCGAGTTGTAGACCAAAATGTACACACATCACACTATTAAGAAATGAAACTTCCAATGTCCGCTGATACAACTAATTTATTTGACATTTTACTTCATAACAAAAAAGATTAAACACAGATAGAAAAACACTAATCTGATGTCCACAATAAACGCCATCTAGTATCAACATCATCAACCTTTTTACGTTTCCATTGCAGGGGATCTTTTAGGGGAAAATTTTCAAAAATATTTATTATTAATATTATTTTTGTTATTAATTATGTACTCAAATATCAATTTTTACCACAATATTATGAAATCTTTACAAATAATATAATATAGATTTATTACAAAGACAAATCAAATTGTAAACAATGGTTTTAATGGTAACATTTTGATACCCCATAAAAACTTTCACTCCCATATCCATCTCTTTAAGTGTTAGATTTCGGGATAAAATATAACTTATAGTTATAACCTTCATAACGTCCTTAACTACCCAAATACCATTTTTATCGATATATGTCCAAAAATAAAGAAGTTTCATACAAACGATCTATCCTTTTTGACCCCCTTCGGGGTGGATTTTCCAAAAATCCCTTCTTAGTACAGTGCGTTGTCTGCCAGTCAGTAAGTCAGGACATTTCCTTTTATATATATATATATGATGACCACAGAACATAGAGAGAGATGACTAATTGTAACTATTTAATTATGAACAAATTAATAAGAATATAATTTTAATGAAAAAGGTTACACGATATAAATCTTTATTTATTTATTTTCTCATCACAAAGGTAGTAAATAGGTTGAAGTACAGAGTTTCAATTACCAGAGTTACCTTTGTGAGAGACTGGAGTCTGCGAAGGAACCGATTATGGCCTGAAGTGCAGATCACCAGGGACAGGGATAAATGGGACCTGGGACACGATATAGTAGGTATTTTAAGGTAATCTAAATATAAAATTAATCTAAGATAAAAATATTTTCTAAAGTCTAATAGAATGAAGTTCCTAAGGTAAGTGTCGGGTATCATGCTTGAAAAGACCTAGTTTTAACTCGAACAGTTTATTCAAATAAATTACATTTATTTTATTCGAATAACTTTCTTTACCTAGAGAACTTTTGTTATTTTTTTCATTTCATGCAGCGATCTTAGCCAGTTCTCAGCTTTTTGCCAAGTATAAAAACACGTGTCAAATAGGATTTCTTATCCGATTAGTTGGTAAAAACATACAAGATATAAGTTTAATCTTCGAATCTACAGAAAACGGCGAGGTTTGAAACTGCTGGTAGTGTCAAATCGTCAGCTTTGCGGACTACAATTGCACCTGAGGAGTCGAAATTGACCAAAAGCGGTCTTTGTCCACTAGGATCACACACTCTTAACATTGCCCCACTCATGGAACAATACGGCAATTTCTGCAATAACAAGAAAATTGGTAATATATAAAATTATTGATTAATTTTTAATGGTGCTGTACAGATGAGATGTTTAGCGTTAAAGATTAATAAAATACTCACAGGTATTTGCATAAACCATGACTTTTTGAGTACATACTCAGGCTGCAACTTCAATCTGTAATTGGTCTGCGACTTTTCAGTATCACCTGAAAACAATTACTTGAATATAGGAATGACTTTTGGAAACTTTATAAATAACATGGCAATCGTTGGTGACTTTACATAAACGAAAATAAAGCCATTAGACTAAGAATAAGGTAAATTGAGATGTAACATGGCAACTGACGTCAAAACTCAATAATACTTTTGATAGGACTATCAAAATAATCAACTTTCTCGACAATTTTGACACTGTTTAATATTATTTAAAAATATCCCACGGATCACTATCTCTTGGTAGGTGATTTTAATTTATGCGTGGTTTCCATGAAATGCAACAGATTTTTATATAATTCACACTGGTCCCATGGCTATACAGATTTGCGCAAGTGATTTTTTAAATGACATGACTTTTTAGGTTTGATACGATATAATCGTATATGCAATACTAACAGCAGGATCATAGATTTGTATTTTTGTAATCTTTCACTGTCAGTTAATAGTACAATTCTATTATTAAAGGAGTATCGCCATCATCCGACTTATGCATTTGAAATTCTCGACTTATTTATTAAACCATTTAACGAAAGCCGGATTTGTCACTATAATTTCTTCAGCTGTGACTATTAAAAAAATAACAATCATTTGCACGATATTGACTCTATATAATAATAATAATCATTAATAATAATAATCACTTTATTTCTGTCACAATAGCTACATACGATCTTCAAACATGTTATTTAATTAGACTTAAAGCAAATTTATAAATGTCGTAGCCATCGTGAGAGAGCGAAACCTGTACTAGGATACCCTGTATGACAGCTTCGGCCCCCCCACCACGGAATCATTAAATTATTATTATTAAGTATACATTTTATAAATTGTTAATAATTTTAAGAGCAACAAAACAAAACGCGTTTGTGTGTGCGTATGTACGCTCGCGCGCGCGTTTGTGTGTGTATGTATGTGTGTGTGGGTGTGTGCGTGTGTGTGTGTGTGTGTGTGTGTGTGTTGTGTGCGTGTGTGTGTTTGCGAGTGCGTGTGTTCGTGTAGTATATGGTCTTCTAATTAATGAATCATCTGTAGACAATGTCCTAGAAGTATTTTACTCGAAATTGAAGGACTGCTTTGCTCTTTTTGTGCCTCTTAGAAGATCTAATAAAAAATGACAGTTTCCTATATGGCACAGCGCAGCTTTGATCAAAATCATACATGAAAAAAAAATACATTAGCGATGCAGAAAGTACGAATTTTCTTTTTTACATGCCGGACAAAAGCATATACAAGCCGGATGTTTAGGCACATTTAAAGAAAACGCAGAAGATAACATAAAACGCATGTATTTCTAGAAATACGTTAAAGCTAAAAAAGTCGCTCATCTTACCCTAACTGTTTCACTTTGAATGGAGAATACTTTGACAGTGGCCCCGATATATGTAAGGTGTTCTATAGATTTATGAAGAGTGTTTTAACTCAGTCCTCTTCTAAGTATAGTAATAGTAACACTATTGAGTCAACAGTTTTTAGTGGATAGATTTTCGGCGTCACCGTATCTGAAGATTCGGTACTAATATCGGTTGATACCTCGGATCGTTCTAAAGGTCCTGGCTGTGATGAAGTTCCTCCGTGCTTTCTTTCCTATTTTGTTGAAAGTCTCGCTAAATCAGTAACCATACTGTTTCAAAGGTCAAAAGGAGTGCCCTAGTGTTTTGAAGAGGTCCCAGATAGTCCCTATTTACAAGAAAGGGTCCAAAAGAGTATTTTTTTAATTAACTCTATTTCCATTTTGTTCCAAGGTAAGGCAGTTTTCGCATAAAAAAATATTTAATTTAATTTCTATGGTATGATAACACATTTCCGTTTCTAAATTGGTAAACTAAAGATTGATTACTTCATTATATCTGGCCACTCATTTTTAATTGGTTCCTAAGCCCGCCGCTCATGACTAAGGAGGCCCCATAAGCAAAACTACCTTTTTCAAACATACGAAGTTAAAAACATTGCGCTTTTCAACGTGCTACATGCGGCTGCATATGTGATTTTTTTTTACAATATATTTCGTTAATTACGTGCGTGAGATTTCATAAAATTTCGAAAAGAACATTTCCTGTTTGCTAAAACCTATGACAATTTCGTGTGGTCACTCCTGCTGTTTGATTGCTGTCCGGAACGACGTACAGTCTAGACGTGTGCGCCGCGCCGCGCCGATGACCGACGCCGCCGATCATGACACGCCGCCGCTGACCGGTTCGAAAGATCGGCGTAAACGGCGTGGGATGGCGTGAATTGCGAGTAACGTTTGTTCGCTCAGTTGCTAAGCAACGTATTGCATCCTCTACGGCACGTGTTAATTCCGTTCCGTATTTCCATATTTGGTAAAATTTTAATGAATACAAAAGTAAAGTCAAACAAATAAAGAACCGAATCTTTCTTCTTTAATTGCAGCTGTCACCAATGAAATATTGTACAATTAATGTAGCACTCGTTTAGAAGATGGAGTTGGCAGAAATCATAAATTCAATACTTACCCTTATTTGTCTACTCTAGCTAACCCGCTACAAGCACACCTAGCGAACGTGTATTCTCTGTAGCTGGCCTTAATGAAACGGTTTAACGATTGCGTCTAACTGGGAATAATATCATTAAATAATTTCTATACGTGATAACTATTAGGTTGGGGAAAGTCTTTTCGCATATAGTATGCATAAAGTTGTAATAGAATCTTTCTGGCTATACCATTTGTATGTGGCTGGTTGCGGTATCATTAAAAAGTTTAAATTTTAAAGAAGATTTTGAATTCAAATAAGGAAAATGTGTGATTTTCATTTGTTTTTATAACTGGTGATAAAAACTGGATAAAAATCGTGGTCAAAGGTCAGTCAGGCTTTACAGACTGTGGCGAAACCCGGCTTAACTGGCAAAAAGGTGATGCTGTTTGTATGATGAGATTGGAAGGATATTATTCATTATGAGCTGTTACCGTCAAGCAGCATTATCGATTCTGAACTCTACTGCGAATAACTGAAGAGATTAAAGCAAGAAGTTGAGAGAAAGCGGCCAGAATTAAACAATAGAAAGGGAGTGGTGGAAAACCACATGTCTTTGCTTTAGTAAGACTAGTGTGTCAAGTCCCACAAGCGAATTTTTGCTGCAAATACACGCTCGCAGCTGTGTTGCCAGTTCTCAATCAACCCATACCACATGCAAGTGTCTGGAACTTATTAGAACCAATACTATTTAATATCTCATATTAGGATTTTATCAAAAAAGTGAGGAAACTTTATAATATGTATTTAAATCATTATGTAATGTGATCCTAAACTCCTACTTTAAACTTTTAACGCACTTTGTCAATCGATCATCACTTATGGAATCTGCTCTTGGGGCAGTGCACGCAAAACTAGCGCGCGCGCGTGCACACACACACACACACACACTCACACACACACACACACACAAAATAGTGACACGCTAATTTCACTTGTAGATATACACTAGACACATGTTTCTTACAATAGACACATGTTTCTTAATTTCAGATGCCAGTGTTTCATTAATATGTCATCTGGTAATGCCGCAATAAAGATTTTCCTTTTTCATTAATTAATTTAATAGAGTTTGGCTGGAAGGTGTTAATGCATCTGCCGTGTAGTCCTGACCTTGCACCTTCAGATTTCCACCTGTTTAGGTCTCTTCAGAATTCTTTAGGCAGTGTCAGGTTAACATCACGCGTGTATTGTCAAAACCACTTGTTGTGGTTTTTTTATTAAAAGCCCCAAAATTTCTATAGCTATGGATCATGTGATACAACTACAAATGGCAAAAAGTTTACCGACTTTGAGAAAGCTTTTAATCGGGTTGATCACAGCATACTTGTTGGCAAGCTGGATCGACTGAATATTCTCAGGGATTCACTGAGATGGGTAATATTTTACTTGTCAAATAGATTCCGTTCGGAGTATATTTTTGTCCCCTCTGGAGTTCCGCGGGGATCGCGTCTCAGTCCATCATCATCATCATTTCAGCCGAGAGACGCCCACTGCTGGGCATAGGCTTCCCCCAAAGATCTCCAAAGTGATCGGTCCTGCGCCTCCCGTATCCAACGGCTTCCCGCGATCTTCACCAGATCATCGGTCAACCTTGTGGTGGCCTACAAACGCTGCGTCTCCCGGTACGCGGTCGCCACTCCAGTACTTTATCGCCCCAACGGCCTTCGAGCGTTAGTCCTGCGAGCGATGTGCCCTGCCCACTGCCAATTGTGGTTCGCAATTCTTTGTGCTATGTCGGTGAGTTTCGTTCTTCTGCGGATCTCATCATTTCTGATTCGATCTCGCAAAGAAACCCGGAACATAGCCTTTTCCGTTGCCCTCTGAGCGACCTTGAGCTTCCTTATGATGCCCATCGTAACGCGTCTCGGTCCGCTCATCTATAATGCTTACATCTACGATATATCTCATTGTTTTGTAAATGTTAGTCATCTACTTTACGCTGATGATAAGATTCAATTAATTTTTGTATTCTTTTAGAAGACGACTTAAATAACCTTATTAAATGTTATGAAGATAACATTATAATTTTAAGCATCAATATATGTAGCACCATCACTTTTAGTAGGAAAAAGAACCCTATGTTGGAAAAAGAACCCTATATAGCAGTGTTGTGGTTAAAAGGGTCAATGTCGAATGGGATCTGGGTGTAATCCTGGACTCCAAAATGCTTATGTCTCAGCATATTGATATGATTGTCAATAAGGCGTTTCGGAGTTTGGGTTTTGTAGTTGGGTTTCGTACTTAAGCATATTATACATTAATAAGGTTGTTTATTATGCTTAAGTACGAATTATACTTGAATAGACCAGTCCTGAAGCCCAAAATATGTATGCTCTTTACGTCTCTAGAATAGAACATTCGTACATCATCTGAAGTATAAATTCGATGGTGCGGGTACGGAAACATGCTGAAACTTGTCATCATTTCTGGCTCTTGTCTTTTGAGGAATGACGTCAGTTGCTGGATATAGGGTTTCTATGCGTAACCGTCTAGATATTCCTGATCTTTTAACTGGCTTGTCGCAATACGTACCGGTTTACCATACATGACGCCCCCACTTCTTCATGTACGATAGAAAATTTTCCTGATATTTTCTTTGGGACAAAGCAGCTTTTTAAAAAAGGCATAGTTAGGCCCTTCTACCTTCACCAAACCAAACTAATACTTTAAGAGCTTTACCATATATACATATGAGAACGTATACAATACATGTATACATCATCATGTATATATATATGTCGCATCATCTTTACGAAGATCGTTTGATTTAGTTTCTTTTATTTTAATTGCTAGTTACTCGATTACTTAATTACTCGATTGTAGAGAGAGCGTTTTCATTGATACTTTTAATTTTATTAGAACGGTGACACTGATTTTGACAGTTCGTTAACAAAAAGCAAGTTGTCGCCATTTTGGCAGACATTCGGTTTCCGATCGCCGAGGAGTAAAGACATCCGACGACATCTCGTTATATTTTCGTATGAAAGTGATAAAATGGAACAAATACACGTTAGTATACACGCCTGCAGTGTTATTTTAAAGATAGTCCCCTGATATGGACGATCTATTTGGGCTTCGTAATAGCCCATTCGGACTACCCTTCGACATGTATATATATATATTTTATGGAGTGCATGCTTGTCATATTCAAACTTGATTCCTTTCGCTTTTGTTGTCAAGTTGATT